TTTATTGCTTAGTGTTAACAACATAATCTGCACTGATTTTCTCATTCTGTGAAAAGCCTCAAATGTCAAATGTAAACATGAGTGTCAAGTGAATAAATCAGCAAAGAAAAATGAAACTTGGTTGTTTTGCCCTATTTTACCATAAACTGCCACATTTTCGGGGTCTGTGATTTCCAGGTAATTGACTTGAAACAGAGCAAGTAAAAATTACTTCCTTGTGACTGTCAGCAAAACAAAAGAGATGGTTGTTGACTTCAGGATGGAAAAAAACAGCAACTAAAGCCACCACAGGTACTTGCACGGTTACCTGAACAGTAATACTGTGTAAAACAAGGGGATAAGCCCAACTCTGCTTTCTAATGAAACTCTACTTCTCCGTCTTACACTTATATTATCAACCTATTACCCGGGGCAACTGTGCTCACTAGCCGACTGTACAGGTTGTCAAGACCTGAAAGAGAAGTAATGGAAAAGTACATTAGTGATTCCCTTGCTGCTGAAATCATCTTTGTCCATCTTTGATTAAACCTGTCTCTGCCCAGTAAAAGTTACCCTAGAACATGAACATGCTGGAAAACACTGTGAATGTTTTCCATGTCTCCCAGCTAAAACCTGTCCTGACCACTCCGTTGGCTCCTGACCTTTTATTACATGTATAAGAGGCCCTGACCTGCCTTTTCCTTATGCTCAGATTTTGGCTGGAAAATTCCCTCACACAGAATGGTGAGCTGGCCTTGTGCGGAATGAGCCAGAGGATTGGAAAATTTTTGGAGTGTGTGGAAAGCCTTTGGTGAGATTGTGCTCTTGCTACCGTTTTGACCCTTTTGGAGTTCTGTCTATTTCCCTGTAAATAGATGCATTGCTTTGACTTGGAGTCCTGTGTTTGAATCCTGCTTGCACCTTGGTCCCTTGACATTTTGATAATGTAACTTTTTCCACTTTCTCACGATAATATCCCCAATATGTGCCTGTACATGAACTTTTTTTTCTTTATTTTGGTGCTGTATCACAAAAATGTTTTATTTCCTTGTGGGATCAATAAAGTATCACAAGATATCACCACTTTAAAAGTACTGATTATGTGAAGTGTGTGAGTACTTCTTTCACCACTAAGTGGCACAAGTCATCCATTTTAAATTTTTAAAACCACTTTCATTGGAAGACCAACTAATAATGTCCACTGCCCTCTGTGATGATAGTCTAGGCTTTCCTACTGTGTGTGTAATATTCTAACAATAGTTCATTTTAAGTTTCTGTTTTGATGAACAGAAACCAAGATGTGGAGACTTCCTGCTGATCACACTCTGCAAGAAGTTGTTCAAATGGCTCAAGAAGTAGAGAAGAAGAGAGATGAAAATGAAAAATAAATGTAGATTACGTACATAAATCTATGTGTTTTAGAAGAAAAGAGTAGAAAAAAGCTCCTTCGCCTATGATCACGGTTATGAGTCTTGCATAGAGAAGTATCTATGCAAATGATTGTGATGACAAGTCAAATCAAATCAAATCAAATCAAATCACTTTTATTGTCACATCGCATGTGCAGGCACACTGGCACAGCACATGCGAGTGAAATTCTTGTGTGCGAGCCCCACAAGCAACAGAAATGTGCAAACACAACAACACAAACCAGCAAATACAAGAATGGC